CACGGCCGCCGCTGAGGAGACGGCAGCCGCTTCTGGAGCGGGCTGGCCCCGCGGAAACCGCGCGCGAACTCCTGGAAAGTGATGGCGCCGTCCCGGTCGGTGTCCAGGCGCTGGAAGATCGCCTCGGCCTCCGCGGGCGAGAGCCGCAGCTCGGCACACAAGGCGCCGAAATCGTCGCGCTCGATCCGGCCCGAGCCGTTCACGTCGCAAGCCACGAAGAGCGAGCGGAGCCGCGACGCCTCGTCCAGGTCTACCGGCCCGGGCTCGGGGGAGTCCATCCCCAGCGGGAGCCGGCTGTGCGACAACGGGCGGCCGAGAGAGAGAGCCCTTTCCAAACCTGGCGGGGCAGCTTGGAAGTCACCTGCTCGGGACGCGGTCCTGCCCGCTCCGGGAACGCCTCACCAGAGAGAGAAAGAGAGAGAGAGAGAGAGAGAGAGGCGAACGGCAGGAGGGCGGGCAGAAAGCCTCGCCTCAGCCGTGGGAGCAGGTCGAGCTCCACCTCGACGGCCCGGGCCGAGCCCTTCTGACCACGACGACTACTACTACTGCGAAGGGGAGGGCACCGGAGGGAGGAAAAGGCGGCCCGGGGGCGGCAAAGACGCCGGCTTGCTCTCGCATGGACGCCCGTGGGGCTTGCGCCTGCAAGCGGTGCCACCAGGGACTTGGTCCCGTACCGTCGGCAGGCTCAGCAGCGACAGCGGCCTTTCGTAGGAGCTGCTGCCTGGCCCCCTTCTAGGCTGCTGCGTTGGGCGCGCTTCCTCCGCCGGGAGGCTTACTCCCGAGAAAAACCTTCCGCGGCCTGTGCTGAAAACCGACCTCAGGTCGAGTCGAACGTGAGGCCTGGTGCACTGAGCTACCACCCTGGAAGCTTTACTTGCATTTCTAGGGCTCGCAGGCTATCATGGCTAGTTGAGTGGGGATGGGTGGGGGGGTGTTGGCTCCGAAAATAAGTTTACGAGGAGAGGCTAAAGCTCGGGGCTAAGCAAAACAGATCATCCCCTCACTGGACATACCCTCCCATCAGCTTTAGTCCTCAGAAGTCAGTGGATGGCGAAAATAAAGGGGGGGAGGAACAGGGGGGAAAGGGGCAAATGTGCCAGCCCTCTGGAGACTGATGGATTTAATTCGGTGTGAGCCTCCGTGGACCTCAGTCCCTTTCTTCAGACGCAAGGACGCGCCTGGAATCTGAAGAAATGGATTTTGATCCATGCAAGCTCTTACTGAAATAAATCAGTCTGCCTCGGCATGTGGTGAAAAATAAAGAAGGACGGAAAAGGGGAGGGGTGGAAAGACAAAAGATTGCTGCTCTTGAAAGACTAACATGGCTAGATTACTTCTTTGTAGAGTTTGCGCTGAAGACTTATGGGAGGTGTGGTCACAGGATAGTAGCCATAGGGTCATACATTGCCCATTCTTACAAACATTGCAAGCTAGAATTTCTATTAAAAATGAGAGCGCTGAGGCATTTTTAAGATTAAACACGTTTACAGCATAGTTAGTTGACTACTGTGTATTTCAGAGGCATCTGATAATAACACACATAGCCCACAAAATACCCAGTGTGGTGTATTTGACAGACTTGGGAGGCCTGGGTTCAAATCCTTGCTCAGTCATAGAAGCTCACCGGAAGCATGGAACTGGTAAAACTAGTCCTTAAATATCTAATTTGCCTTGAAAACTCCATCAAAGTCACTATAAATTGGTCCCAATTTGACAGCACAGAACAAAACCACAAAAGCTTATGGCATATTGGCTGAAATCCAGTAGGAATTTGATGAGCCAGCTCCTCTATGTTCTGTTGATTCAGGTGCAACTTACTACTGGATTTTAGCCCATAAGAGTTGCACCCCAAACAATAGTTACCCCTTTAGAATTCTTACAGATCTCACTCCTTCATTCATATTTTTCTCTTTCTCTGAGTGTAAATGGTTGAATGGAGAATCTTATTTCTTTTACCTTGGACACAAATAATTACTTCAGTGCTTCCTGTACACCCATTCCTGGAAAATCCCTTTAAAGGTGCAAATGCCCTTGCTTGACTAAGGTTGCAATTCTGTCATAATATGCATGCTAATTAAAGCTCACAAGCACAGTGGGACTTGCTTTTAAGTAAGCATCTGTAGTAAGCTAGGTGGATTTTAACTGCCTAGCTTAGCAAATGTTCAAATTGTGCTCCTCTTTTGCATGAAAAATAGATCTGTATTTTCGATGAAATTTTCCTTTTCAATAAGAACAAACATGTTACGCCCAAGGAGCTGCCTTGACTAATTCTCACACTTGAAGTTTTTCTATGCTGCTGTATCTAATATCCTTTAGTTGAATATATTAGGAATAAAATTTGCGACCTCTGTGTGCTTAGCTACATTTGGATTCTTGCCTAGTTTATTGCTAAATAAAGGGAAAAAATGAAAGTATCTCCGTGTTCTTTCTGTCATACAAGAGGTTAATTTATCACAAACTGTTGGCTCTAGTCTAGACTTCTACAAGCTCCTGTGGGTGGTGTCCATAAATTAAACAGTCTGACCTTTCCGCTTGTTGGACAATGTCTTTGTAATAGATCACCTGAGAATCAGGGAAGTGGCCTTTAGTTGTAACACTGGTTTTGTGAGGTTGAGAATCACTAAAAATAAGTGGAGAAAGTACTGTCTTTTTCACCTAGTTTAATATGCTTATGATAAACACATTTTAACACACACTACACATGTGTTAGCATTATGTGCCATTAAGTTGGAAATATAGCAATCCTAATAGGGCTTTTAGTGTACTGTAATTAAGATATTTAAGGAGTGATTTTACCAGTCCCCCCCTCCTTACAGGCCCACACATTTGAGTTTCCATGGATGACTGGGGTTTAAATCAAGGTCTCCCGGGTGCTCCTCTGTTTCTATTCACTACACCATACTGGGTGTACTCGTATACATTGTATTCTATTTTACTTTTCTAATAAACAGTGGGATTTCAATAATGTGTTGTACTCAACTTCTAAAACTCATTGACGCATTAAAGTCATAACCTGGTCTAATGCTTGTTATTTTTCTATTAATTGCCCTATTAAATCCTATCAGGTCCCTGGGCACTGATAGCAATATGTGAAAGACATCATGGCTAAGCAGAATTTGAATCTTTGTTCAGCAGATATAAATTCAGTATACTGTACTTCCACTGTGCCATTCTAAGCCATACGATTCAAATTGGGTAACATTCCAGAACTTATGTTTGAAAAGAATATTAATAAAACATTGTTAAAATAAATTTGTATACAGTCTGGCCTCCAAACTATGCCAAGCAATCTGGTGTTGATGTAGAAACTGTGAACTTGAACAATCGGGGATTTAGTCCTTTATCAACATAGATGTCTGATTGTTGGCTTAAGGCTGAGTGGGCCCAGCTCACTTTATAATAGCAACAAGTACTGCCAGCCCACTTTTTGGAAGAAAAGGGCACAACTTTATGGATCAGGTGCACTGAGAGACCCAAGCACCTCCCAATGCCACTGTTGCCCATCAGTAGTACTCTAGGGATCAGCACTAGGGATGATAAACCTTTGGAGACAAGCTGAGCAAATGTTACTCTGTGGCTCCCTGCCACCAGGTAAGAGGTGGTCCTTCAGCTCCTGAGCTAGGCCTGACCATGCCACATGCCCAGGTTTCCTTAAGAGGATCCCTCTACAAAGGTGACAGGTTCATGCCTGCCACCCCAGCACTGCCAGTTCCCCAACTACCAACAAAGTTGTGACAGAAAGCCAGAAAAGGAATGAAATAACCCATTATAGCAGGGGTCTCAAACACACAGCCCATGGGCCATTTGCAGCCTGGTGGACAATAGTTTGTGGGCCCCACCTTGCCTCCCCCCGCCCGAAGCGCCAAGTGTCCTCTGCTGTCAAGAGTTAAAAAAAGCCTCACCTCACTTGCCGGCTGTCTACCAAGCACCTCTTGCACCCTCCATCTGGAAATGCAGCCTGCCAGCCAGCCCGCTTGTCTGCCGGCTGGCAGGCTGCAGTTCCGGATGGAGGGTGCAAGAGGCGCTGTCTTGGGAGACAGCTGGCAAGCTCCCAGCCCTTTTCCCCGTGTGCCCGAGCCGCCACCGAGCAATGCCTGAGAGCAGAGCTCGCTCCCAGCCCGTCCTCGAAGAGCTCCTCCAAGCCACCAACAGCAGTTGCCACGCCTCTTCCAGAGAAGCAGCTCTCTGGCTCTCTTTCTCTCTCAGCACCCCCAGCACCAGCCCGGCCAGCAGTCACCTCAGCGCCGAGCAGTGCCTCCTCCTCCTCCTTGCCCTGCTTCAGCCACCTTGGCTCTGGAGGCTGCCTGGGCTCACCTCGCAAAGTTTGCTCCTCTGTCATGGTGGGGGTAGCTGCTGCTGCTGAGTGCACCTTTTTTTGAGGGGGGCCCTCAGAGGAAGGTTGGTAGACCTCCATGTGTGTATGTGTGCATGCACGCATGCATGTGCACCTGTGGGGGGCCCCACCCCATTCTATTTAATTTCACAGGTACTGATGGGGGCTTTTCTCCTTTGGCAAGTTGAATTCTGTGAGGTTTTTTTAAAAAAATTATGTCGTGCCCTCCTCCCCACAGCTAGGCAGTCGCCGGTGCTCCCTCCCTTCTCCGCTTCTTCATCCTGCTGATGCTGGTGGTGGTGGTGAAGGACGAGTCAGAGGGTGTCATGGCTGGCGACGAGGGCTCTCACACCCCCTCCTCCTCATCGGAGCCCCAGCCGGGCTAAGGAATCTCCCGGGCGGCTTCCTCGGGCTCTTGCTCCGCTTGGCGGAAAATCTGATGCGGCCCAGTTTGAGTTTGAGACCCCTACATTATAGCCACCATACTCCTGTCATACCCACCTGGAAGACCTTAACATCCTGCAGACCAATGTGCTGTACATAACCATCAGCAAACAGGGAAGAGGGGGAGGGAAGGCTAGTAAGCCACACACTGGCTGAGGAGCCTCTGGGCTATTGGAATACTGCAAACTACATATGACTCCTTTGACTATCTTTGGCTGGCACAGAACTGCAGTGTATGTCAGTTTACTCAGGCTGTGGACAACCTGGCCATTTCATCTGATTCATTTCGGGGTTAGCTTTGTCTTGCACCCACCCGCCCTCACACTAGTTGGCTAGTTTTTGATTTTTATTTTCAGTGGTGTCCCACTTAATGATTACCTTGTTAAACGACGAATCTGCTTGACGATGAGGTTTTTTGTGATGTTTTAATGGGAAAAATTTGCTTTACGATGATCGGTTCCCTGCTTCGGGAACCAATTTTTCGCTTTACAATGATCAGAAGACAGCTGATTGTTGGGTTTCAAAATGGCCACCTGCTGTGC